ATGGGGCAAGAAGGAGGGGGCTGCGCGCCAGGTGGGGAAGGGGGGAAGAGCCTCCTTGAGAGGTCCTGGAGGGCCTCTGAAGCCCTGCCAGAATGGCCCCCGTGGCCTTGGGAAGGAGGCCCGGTGCCAGCAGCAGCTCCCTCACGGAGGGCCACGACCGAGGAAGGCGGCAGCCAGTGGGGCGCAGGTGGCAGGGGTGGCTTCACCCCGAGGCTCTGGGGTGGGTGGGTGGCTGGCTGGCTGTGTCCCCCGGTCGCAGTGGGCGGCACCAGGGAGCTGAAGCCAAGGCCTGGGGGCAGCCAGCTCTGCTTGGCCGAGACGGGCCGTTCTGCCCGACTGCCACCACCCTCCGTTCCTGCCGGCTGCCCTGGATGCCCACCGTCCTCGACACTCACATGCCGCCAATGGTGACTGTGGCACAGGTGCGCTCTGAGAAGGCGGGAACCGTGTCGGTCGCCCCGCTGGCCGGCCGAATGTAGTCCACTGTGACGTTCACCTGGAGGGAGGACAGGAAGGCTCAGTGGCTTCGGAGGGAGGGCGGCCAGCCAGAGACAGCTGGGGAAGGGGGAGCAGCTGGAGTCTGCAAGGGGCAGAGGGCAGCCCCCAGGGCCCCCCTCAGAGGCCCCTGCTGAGGAATGGAGGCCCATTCAGAGGGGAGAAGAGGCTCTTGGAGGTTAGGGTTGGGGGCAGGGGAGGGGTCTGCCCGCCTCCCAACTCCCTAGCCAGGGTTGCTAAGCCATATGGGGATGGGGGTCCCACGCTGGCAGCATCTGCATTCTGACAAGGGGGGCTGCTGGTGGATTCCATGTGTGTGTGTGTGTGTGTGTGTGTGTGTGTGTCTCGGAGCAGGGAAGGGTGACCTAGCCAGGCTTATGCCCGCAGAGGAGGGAGGGGCTGCCTGCCCCTCTGCTGTGGGACAAGAGAGATGCTCTCCCTCCCCAGGCAAAGGCGGGGGAGGGAAGGAAAGAGACACGCCCGCCCTCTTCCCAGCCCAAGAGCCCCTCTACTTGGGAAGGGGCCTCCCCTGCCGGAGGGGTCCGGGGCCCTTCTCTCGGCCAGGGTGGGTCAGGCCTAGCAAGGCAGGAGATAAGCCAAGGTATCCAAGGGTGACCGCCAGGACGGGACGGTGGGGCCAACGGAGGCCCTCTGGCTGCTTGGGCACGGACTCAGGAAAAGCCGGGAAGGGAGGGGAGGGGTGGCCCAGGGCCGAGCGAGGCCGTCCTGGCCCTGGCCAAAGGAGAGACAGCCCCCCCCCGGCTCGTGGCTGGAGCATGCCACCCTGCAGCCGCCAGCCCCGGGGAGGCCGGCCGTCCCCCTCCGCGGCCTGGGCGTCCAGTTGCAGGGCATCCTTGATCTCGCTGGGCGGCAAGGAGAAGGGGCCAGCGGCTCGGCCTGTCACTTCTGATCAGTGGCAGCCTGGCCCGGGGCCTCTTTCGGTCATTAGCACAAAGGACTTTCTCCTCACTGGCCCCAATCAAATTAATCTGAAGTGAAAAACGTGGCGCTGACAAAAGCCATTCGGATAAAGCCACCTCGGCCGGGGAGGGCCACCGAGCCCCCCCCACGCACACGCAGCCAGAGACAAGCAGCTGCCCAGCAACCCCGGGGCCCGAAGGCCACCTGCTGGCAAGGACAGGCTCTCCTTGGGTTGGCACGGGGTGCCCTTCGCAGCCCAGGCCCAGACAGCCCCTCCCCCCGTGCCACCCGTGGGTCAGAGGCCAGCCGTGGTGAGGCCCACACAGCCGCCTCCGCAGGCCCAGCCCAGCAGGGGAGGGCGGGAGCAAGGGGGCACCCCCTCTTCAGGGCCAGGGCTTCCCCTTCTCCACCAGCCCAGCCCCCGGTGCCAGGAAGACGGGGCAGCTGTGTCCCAGAGCTGGTTGGGGAGCAGCTCCGTGGGCCCCCAGGAGGGCAGTCGAGGGCACCTGCCAGCTCCCCAAAGGAGCATGGGGGGGGGAGGGAAGAGCTGCTGTCCCAGAAGGGCCGCTGTCCTCCCGCCTCTGCACGGTGCACGGCTGCATGCTGACCCCAGCACGAAGCAGAGCTCCGTGGGACGGTTCACAGGGAGGGGCCAGAAGCCCCACGGAAGGCCATTCCTCGCCCTCCACCCCCTGCCCAAGCAGCAGAGCCCGGGCCTTGGACACAGGCAGAGGTGACCTCGCCTTGCTCCAGCTTGGGAGGGGGTGGGCGCAAGACTGAGACAGCCGTACGTCCCAAAGGAAAAGGGGGCAGGAAGATGGCTGCCCCGCAGGGCTCCCCACAGCCCCCCCCTCAGGCTGGCCGGGCGCAGCTCACCTTCTTCCCAATCAGCTTCTTGCGCAGGAACTCCCGGGCCTCAAACATGTAGGGGATGTCGTAGAGGGGACGGAGTTTCCGGTTCTTGTCCTGGGGAGGGAGAGGAGGGTCAGCAGTGCCAGCCCAGCCCTCGGGAGCATCGCAATCTGCCCACCTGGGCCTCTCTGAGCTCCCCAGCCCGAGACAGGAGACCCCAAAGACCCCACGGGCAGAGCCCCCGGAGAGCAAGGGCAGGCTGCCCAGGCCCAGAAGGCTGCCTCCCCCCCCCATCTGGGGCACAGCAGGGGGCATTGCAGGGGGTCACAGCAGATTTCCCAAAGCCCCATCCCAGAAGCAGCCTGGGGGAGGGGGCAACCCTGGAAACCCCCCCAGGGACTATTGAAACCAGGCCATCATCCCCACAGCGCTCCGAGATGTTTTCAGATGGAAAACGGAGGGTTGCTGCAGCCCAACGCTCTGCTCCTCCTCTTCCAGACAGCAACGCTTCTAAACCATAAACATGTTTGTTTTTTATATGAGAGGATTGAAACAGATCACTTTTCCTCAGAATGGCTGAGGATTATGGGTCATCCTGGTTTAGTGACTGCAGTTCAGTTGTTAAGCGAAGGAGTTGCCAACTGAAAACACAACTACACCTAGGGTTTTATTTCAGCTCTCTTTTGATTTATAGATCTGCAAAGGTTGTAAATGTGAGGAACGGTCACAATTTTCCATCGCTGTTGTGATTGCGAATGGTCACTAAATGAGGAGCAAGTACAGGTAAAAGCTCCAGGAGAGAAAAAACCCCAGGCCATGAGGAGTCATTCAGGAGAGGCCTCTTCGAAGACACAAACTCAGGCATGAAACAACACAATCCCTGGTGCCAGGGGGGGAAGCGCAGGGGGCCCCCCTAGGAGAGGCTGGAGGGGATTCGGAGGGTCCTCCCGGAACCAACAAAACTCACAAAGAGGCCAACGTTAAGCCATGCAGGAGTAGGAAAGGGAGCAAGGGGGGGTCTCTCAGAGGAGCAGACTGCTGGGTCAGAGAGAGGGGGGCTCTGTGGGTGTCACCCCTTGGCTCAGCCGGCCCCTCTGTGGCCCCCTCCCAAGCCCCCCCAGCCTCCCAAAGGTCCCATCGCAGCGGGGAGGGGGGGAGTTCCTGCAAGGCCAGCTCGGAGGGCAGCAGCAGCTTCGAGAAGGAGGGAGGGAGGGAGGGAGGGGGGACCTGGGGGAGGGCTCCTTCCCACTGTGCTGTCTGACCAGAAAGCCTCGTGGGCAGCGTGCCAGGGCCGGGCAGCTGTCTAACAAAACTGCCCTGCAAAGCCCGGCGTCCTGAAGGAAGCGGAGCGGAGGTGGCAGCAGAATCCCCAAGGGCCCCTTCCCCAGCATCCGGACGCCCTTGAAGGGACCCCCTCCTCCTCGTCTCTCCCCCCCCCCAGCACCGGGCTCTGCTCTGGGAACGCTTCCACACAAGATTAAGATTGCAGAAGCCTCCTGCGGGAGGGGCGTCCCCAGAGACCTGCACTTCGAGCTGCAAACCCAGCAGGCTGGAGGCCTCCCCTCCTGGCTCTGGTTCCAAGGGGCAGGCGCTGGGCGGCATCCGCCAGGGGCTCTCCAAGACTGGTGCCCTGGCTGCTGCGGAGCCCAGGTCCTCCCAGCCCCCCCCCCACAAAGCTCTGGAGAGGGACCTTCTGGGCAGAACAGGAAACGGCCAGAGGGGAGCGGATGCGTGTGCTCCCCTCCCCTCCCCGCTTCCCAAACGATGGTCCGAGGGGGTCCCCCAAGGGACCCCGGTTGCCCAAGGAGGCCTCCTGGCTCGGCCCCCTTCCAGTGCTGGCTGAGCAGGGAGACTCCGGCCCTCCTCCCGCAAGGCCTCCTGCCCCACAGACGGAGGGCTCCCTTTGGGAGAGAGGCGGCCCGCAGAGAGTGACCGATGGGGCCGGGCAGGTAAGGAGGGAGCTCTCCCTTAAGTCTCACGCACCACTTCATATCTCTGCATGCAAATTGATAAATAATTTCACAGACGATAAAGCCACTCAATTAATCTTCCACCCAAGTCACACCAAATAAAATCAATTAATTTGCATCTTGTTCCTGCTTTATCCACACTGGTAGCTGCTCTTCAATTACAATTAACCGAGGGGATTGGCTGTGCTAAAGTGACAAAATGCAGAAAAGAAAAATACCTCTTCACACACATACACACGCGCGCGTGTGCAAAAAGAACAAGTTTTGTAGCGGGAGGGAATTCCGGAATCTGACAGGATGTAAATCCCCAAGGAGCCTCCCGGGGAAAGGCTGGGTATAACTCCAGCAAACACATAATTAAAATAAATATCGGCCTCACCCCAGATTAATTTCCGAACAAATCTTGTGAAACAAATCTTGCTCCTATTTCACCGATTCATTCATTACCGTATCTTATTTATTTATTAAGCAGATTTATATGGCCCTCCATCTCGGAAATATGATTCTGGGTGGCTAACAAGAGATTAAAAATAATAAAAACCCAGATGGACAAAAGGTGTTGTGGTTGCTGAGGGTAAACCCAGAGGAAACAAGTGGCTGGCAGGGTCAAGGCCAGAACCTCTGTGTGTGTGTGTGTGTGTGTGTGTGTGTGTGAGAGAGAGAGAGAGAGAGAGAGAGAGAGAGAGAGAGAGAGAGAGAGAGAGAGAGAGAGAGAGAGAGACCTCCTGGTGCCCTAAGAGAGAAGGGCACCAGCCCCCCCCCTTCGTGGGTGACAGAAAGGCCCCGGCTGGTTCTGCCCTGATCCAAGCCTGGTCAGTGGGAAAAGGGCCAGGAGCTGCAGGGGACCCCCCCCCACCATTCTCTTTGGGGAAGGAGACCCCACAGCTCCTTTGAGGCCCTTGGGGGGCTCCTCCTGGGCTAAAAGAGGGGGGATGTGGGGGTGGGGGCGATAGCAGGACGGAGCTGGCAGCCATCTTCCTCTTCTCCAGCTGCTGCCAGATGAATTTATGCCAGGCCTCTGAAGCGCTTGTCAAGGCAGGCCATCAATCCAGGTTTGTCAGCCACTCTGAGTTATGCGCTGCTGCAGGGCCTGGGGTCTTCCCATCCAGCAGCCCTCCCCTCCCCACCCCGGCTTCAGCCAAGCGACCGGCCCACGTTGACTCCCCCCACCGCAGGCCACGAGAGGTGGTGGGCCACACAAGCAGCCCCCTTCCCTCCTTTCCTGGCCGGGGGACCACCACCCGCTGGACCAGCCTCTCCCCCCTGAAGGCCCGCCTGCCACTCAGGATCCCCCAGGGCCGGCCCCTTTTCCCAAGAGCCCCAAGCTAGTCCGGCCCCACCAGGAGTCCCACTCTCTCCCCTCCGTTCAAGGAGGGCCCAGAGGGGGGGAGGGGGCAGGGAAAGCTGGACCTTCCACGGGCGGGCGGGGGAGGCCTTCCACATCAATCAGCACATCAATCAGCCCCCAGTTAAAACTCCTGCCCCATTAATTCTTCGCTCCTTCTCAGTCGCCCTGTTCTACCCAATCAGGCTAGGCCAAGGCGCTCCAGGCACAGCCCAGGAATTCTCCCGGCCACAATTCAGAAAACCTTGACAAAAACCGCCGGAGGTCTGGACGACATTTGATTTTGGGGTGAATCAAGAGGAATTTTAGGCCAATTTAAGGCAGCAATGCTGAGCCCCCAAAGTCCTTGGAGGGAGTCTCCCTCCAGACACTGCCAGGCACAGGGGTACCACGGAGGGCAACAGGGCTGGCACCCCTGCCGTGGGAGCCTAAGTCCCAGATGGATAAAGGGGGGGGGGACATTCTTCCTGAAAACGAGGAGCAGCAGGTGAGGCCAGGGCAGCCCCCCACTTCAGACCCTCTGCCCCCCCCTTAGCAATCCGGCGTCCTGTTCTGGGCTGGTCATCGCAAAGCATGGAAGGTCCAGGGGCTTCAATGTGCCCCCCCAAGACTCTTTCCCCCCCTGTAATCCTGCATCACTTAAGACTGCCTCCCCCCTTGGTTTCCTTCTCCTGCCCAGCTCCACAGATCCCCCCCATGCTGCTCACTTGAGAGTCCGGCAAACTAAATGGAGGAGGAGGCCATGATCTGCCAGAAGCCGTGTGTGTGTGTGTGTGTGTGTGTGTGTGTGTGTGTGTGTGTGTGTGAGAGAGAGAGAGAGAGAGAGAGAGAGAGAGAGAGGGGGGGGGAGCTTTCTCCTCGAAGAGCAGAGCAGTGCCTGTGCCCCCCCCCTCAGCCCAAGACCTGCATCCACCCCATGAGCTGGCTAGGGTCTCTTGGACCCCCTCCCGCGCAAGTCAGGACTCCTCAGAGCCCCCCTCCCCGACAAGGGGCTGTCCAACTTTGCTTGACGCCCTCCAAAGATGGAGGCCCACAACTCTCCTCACTCCCCTTCCTCCGGGAGGCCCCCCCACCCCCACGCCTGGCCCGCCGCCGGAGGATGACTGATGGGCAGCTTCTCTGAGGGAAGCCGTCAGCCTTCCTTCCTTCCTTCCTTCCAGGAGCAGCACAGCACATGGGGGGGCAGGGTCTCTCCCTCCTCCTCCCCCCCCCCCCGTCTCAGCAGCCCCAGAAAGACGAGGCACAACCTTGCTGGGAGGTAGAGTTTTCTTCCAAGGGGAGAGCAAAAGGAACTGGGGGGTGAAGTGCCTCCCTCCCTCCTTCCGCAGCCTGCAAGGGGCAGCAGCCCCCTGCAGCAGAGAGGAGGGTCTGCAATGCAGCTGATGTCCTGGAGCAGGAGGACGCCAAGAGGACAGCAGCCCCCCTCCCTCAGCCTCAACCTGGTCAGCCCATCCAGAGCCCTTCTGCCCTCCTGACACACCCCTCCAGGAGGCAGAGATGCCAGCCTGCCACCCAAAAGGGGGGGCTCCTGTCCCCTCGCAGCAGAGGAGCCCACCCCCTCCTCGTCCAGAGGACCCACGCTCTAGCTGTGGCCAGAGCTGAGGGGGAGCAGAGAGACGCTTCAGCCACGAGCCTCAAGGGCCCGGCTCTGACGGAGGACCCTCCCGGAGCCACCTCTCTCCCCCGTGACCGTCGGACAAACAGAGAGAGCGGGATCAGTGCCCGGAGATGACCTATTAAAGGCCCACCGCAGAACGGGGCTGACACCACCGCGTGTCACTTACAGCTCAAACCACTCA